TTACCTCTGAGTATTTCCTCTGCCAGGCCTCCAGTATGGCAGCAGCCTTATCTTGGTTCCAGTTGATATGGGACACCTCCTCATAGCCCTTCAGGTGTTCAAACATCTGCTTAGGAGTCATCAGCTGGAACATTGTCTGTAACGCCTGGGCACTACACACACACAAGCACGCACACACACACACACGACAAAGAGAACACATGTCAGATACACTGGAGCAGCGGTTCCCAAACTAGGGGTCACGGGATAATTTCCTAATATATATATATATATATATTGTGCGGCGCACAATTGGCCCAGCGTCGTCCAGGGTAGGGGAGGGAATGGCCGGCAGGGATGTAGCTCAGTTGATAGAGCATGGCGTTTGCAACGCCAGGGTTGTGGGTTCGATTCCCACGGGGGGCCAGTATATAAAAAAATATGTATTCACTAACTGTAAGTCGCTCTGGATAAGAGCGTCTGCTAAATGACTAAAATGTAAATGTATATATATATATACACACTACATGACCAAAGGTATGTGGACACCTGCTCGTCGAACATCTCATTCCAAAATCATGGGCATTAATATGGAGTTGGTCCCTCCTTTGCTGCTATAACAATCCCCACTCCTCTGGGAAGGCTTTCCACTAGATGTTGGAACATTGCTGTGGGGACTTGACTGGCTCGCAGTCGGCATTCCAATTAATCCCAAAGGTGTTCGATGGGGTTGAGGTCAGGGCTCTGTGCAGGCCAGTCAAGTTCTTCCATGCCGATCTCGACAAACCATTTCTGTATGGACCTCGCTTTGTGCACGGGGGCATTGTCAAGCTGAAACAGGAAAGGGCCTTCCCCAAACTGTTGCCACAAATGTGATTGTATGCTGTAGCGTTAAGATTTGCCTTCACTAGAACTAAGGGGCCTAGCCCGAACCATGAAAAACAGCCCCAGACCATTATTCCTCCTCCATTTTTACGCGCAACAGGCTTCAACACTCGGCGGTCCCATTCTGTGAGCTTGTGTGGCCTACCACTTCATGGCTGAGCCGTTGTTGCTCCTAGACGTTTCCACTTGACAAAAAGAGCACTTACAGTTGACCGGGGCAGATCCAGCAGGGCAGAAATTTGACGAACTGACTAGTTGGAAAGGTGGCATCCTATGACAGTGCCACGTTGAAAGTCACTGAGCTCTTCAGTAAGGCCATTCTACTGCCAATGTTTGTCTTTGGAGATTGCATGGCTGTGTGCTCGATTGTATAACCCTGTCAGCAACGGTTGTGGCTGAAATAGCCGAATCCACTAATTTGAAGGGGTGTCCACATACTTTTGAATATTTTGTGTATATTATATCATCTTTATATCTCAAAATCATTGTAATGTGGTTAACCTTAAAAATCTAAATGAAAATTATTAAAATCTAAAAGATAAAATTCAACCAGACATTATTATTATTATGTTACAGAGATCCTTGGCTGATATTATTATTATTATGTTACAGAGATCCGGGGCTGATATTATTATTATGTTACAGAGATCCTGGGCTGATATTATTATTATGTTACAGAGATCCTGGGCTGATATTATTATTATGTTACAGAGATCCTGGGCTGATATTATTATTATTATTATGTTACAGAGATCCTGGGCTGATATTATTATTATTATTATTATGTTACAGAGATCCTGGGCTGATATTATTATTATGTTACAGAGATCCTGGGCTGATATTATTATTATGTTACAGAGATCCGGGGCTGATATTATTATTATGTTACAGAGATCCTGGACTGATATTATTATTATGTTACAGAGATCCGGGGCTGATATTATTATTATGTTACAGAGATCCTGGGCTGATATTATTATTATGTTACAGAGATCCTGGGCTGATATTATTATTATGTTACAGAGATCCTGGGCTGATATTATTATTATGTTACAGAGATCCTGGGCTGATATTATTATTATGTTACAGAGATCCTGGGCTGATATTATTATTATGTTACAGAGATCCTGGGCTGATATTATTATTATGTTACAGAGATCCGGGGCTGATATTATTATTATGTTACAGAGATCCTGGGCTGACATTCGCCTTCATCATTGTGGGTAATGAAACTAGTAAAGGTGATGTAGGCAGTAAGCATCGTGGGTAGTGCCACTGTGGGCAGTGACACAATGCCAGGCAGCAAAATGCCCTGTAAGCAGCAGCATAAATGCCATGCCCGTCATGCCTGCCGCCCGCCACCCATCTAAACATCCCGTGGGCAGCTAAATAACACACGCATACTAATGTGAACACACACACTCACCCAGACTCACACACACACGCATGAACATAAACACACCCACACCCATAACGACCCGTCACTGCCAACCAAGCAAAAACACAACCACAAAAACAAAGAAATACACACTGTGTGTGTGTGTGTGTTTAGAGCAAAGGGATCCAGTGCAAGCCTACTTTAAACTGCACTTGAATTAGAAAATCTCCAGGGCATTTGTTGAGTCACAAGCAGATCTCCATAGTCCAGTTCTCTCCTAACCCGGCTAGGCAGAAAGTGCTTACTGTGCATTCTGACCTATAGTAAGGATGCATCCCAAATGGCACTCTATTCGCTATGTATAGGGAACGGGGTGCCATTTTGGATGCACACTAAATGTTACTGGGAGAGCACTTTGTTTATGTATACATGTACAGTATGTACCCTGGCCAACTGAGTGTTAGTGTGTGTTTTAAGTGGCAGGCTGTGTGTGTTGCAGTGCAGTAAATCTAGCAGTCATTAGCAGATTCCAGTGAAATCTAAGAGCTCCAGCTGTTCCTGCTCAACTCTGGATGTGCTGCCTGGACACTAGATCCACTGTATAATATCTCTCTATCTATCTCATCTATCTCTCTATCTCTAACGCTCTATACTCTCTATATCTCATATCAGATCTCTATAGCTATCTCTATTCTACTCTCTCTATCTCTCTCTCTCTCTATCTCTATCTCTCTCTATCTCTCTCTCTCTCTCTCTATCTCTCTCTCTCTCTATCTCTCTATCTCCTCTCTCTCTCTCTCTCTCTCTCTCGCGCCGCTCCTCTCTCTCTCTCTCTCTCTCTCTCTCTCTCTCTCTCTCACCTGAGTAGTGGTCCGGTGCCATTCTTGGTGGTCCCCCCTACAATCAGCTCTTCCTGCCAGTGCATGTACTTCCTGGAGAGGCCATGGCAGCCGCCAGTCAGGATGCGAGCGAGGTCAAAGGGCTGCAACACAACAACATAGTCAATGGATCTGTGTCTGCATGCATGCATGTGTACAAACAGCATATACATGGATGTGTGTGTTTCTGCGTCCTGTGTGTGTGTACCTTGGTGGTGTTCTTGTTGGGGGCAGTGAGGGGACAGTCTGGGTCTTGGGGGTTGAGACAGGGCCGGTCCATGTATCCATGGCCCACGTCAGCCTTCTCCAGCATCACCTCCCAGCTGTCTACCTGGAACTTCAGGGCCCGAAGCTCCGTCAGAAACTCCTTGGGGTCAAAGTTGGTCCACTGCAGAGGGGGCTTACCGCTGTGAAGGGGGGAGACACACACACACAACATCCAATCAGCATGAGGAGAATGAACCAGATCATTCACAAATACAGGTAGACTATTGATCAAAATTGGGTTTGTTTTCTAATTCTTTGTGGATCTCAAGTATTTTTTTTCTCTCTCTCTCTCTCTCTCTCTCTCTCTCTCTCTCTCTCTCTCTCTCTCTCTCTCTCTCTATCTCTCTCTCTCTCTCTCTCTCTCTCTCTCTCTCTCTCTCTCTCGCTCTCTCTCTCTCTCTCTCTCTCTCTCTCTCTCTGATGTATATAATGTGTGGTGTGTATAATGTGTGGTGTGTATAATGTGTGATGTGATGTGTATAATGTGTGATGTGTATAATGTGTGATGTGTATAATGTGTGGTGTGTATAATGTGTGCTGTGTATAATGTGTGGTGTGTATAATGTGTGGTGTGTATAATGTGTGATGTGTATAATGTGTGATGTGTATAATGTGTGATGTGTATAATGTGTGGTGTGTATAATGTGTGGTGTGTATAATGTGTGGTGTGTATAATGTGTGATGTGATGTGTATAATATGTGATGTGTATAATGTGTGGTGTGTATAATGTGTGATGTGTATAATGTGTGGTGTGTATGTGTGATGTGATGTGTATAATGTGTGGTGTGTATAATGTGTGATGTGATGTGTATAATGTGTGATGTGTATAATGTGTGATGTGTATAATGTGTGATGTGTATAATGTGTGATGTGTATAATGTGTGATGTGTATAATGTGTGATGTGTATAATGTGTGATGTGTATAATGTGTACTCACGGGAGGTAGACCATTCCAGACTGGAGCTTGGCTCCCTCCCAGAAACAGTCAAGCGGAGTGATGATGAGACAGGGGTGGAGCTTCTCAATGATCTGACAGGAGACAGCAGACACCATGTTACCACTGGTGCTATAATCAGTACAGTAGAACATCACATTATAATAACATCACATTATAGTAACATCACAACATCTTCTCAATGATCTGATCGAAGACAGCAGGCACCATGTTACCACTGACGCTCTGCAACTACTAATCACATTATAATCCTCTGTATGAGAGGCGGTGTTTGGTGTAGAAATAGAGAGACAAACTCAGTTCACTCATGCTTACCTGGTCCATAAAATGAGCTTCGGTAACCATTTCTCCTGATTTGTAGCATAAATGTTCCAATTTCCATTGTCTGAAAAGGAGACGTTCAATATATCACTTACACAACAGCTATGAATGATCTAAAACATCATTTGTTTGACCGTGTGTGTGTGTGTGTGTGTGTGTGTGTGTGTGTGTGTGTGTGTGTGTGTGTCACCTGTTAAAGAGGTAAACATGCACTCTGCTGGCCTTGATGGCTGAGTCCAGGTGTTGTTGCAGTGCCTCCACAGTGAGCACGTTAGCGCCCTCCTGCCGCGGTGCCTGAATCATCAGCTGGGGACTGAACATGGCCTCCTCGCCCATCTTCTGACGTGTGTACTTCAGCTCCTGATTCACCCTGCCACCCACTGCACACCAGAGGACAAACACATACACGGTCAGTCTAGTATGTACACACACCAACACATATTACATACACAACTTTCAGAACCTGGTCTGATGTACAAAAACACACAATAAACTGCCTTTTATAACAAACTCTACAATCACATTGATGTATGCATCAGCCTTCCTGAAAGAACAATAAGACGTGATGACTTGTCAGCCCCGTCACACTAGCTGACGTTAACCAAAACCTGTTCCAATAGCCTTAGAATGACAGTACAGTTTCATAAAATGCCAGTCTCTGCCTCCGTCTTTGGTCTCTGCCTCAGTCTTTGATCTCTGCCTCAGTATTTGGTCTATGCCTCAGACTTTGGCCTCTGCCTCAGTCTTTAGCCTCTGCCTCAGTCTTTAGTCTTTGGCCTCTGCCTCAGTCTTTAGTCTTTGGTCTCTGCCTCAGTCTTTAGTCTTTGGTCTCTGCCTCAGTCTTTGGCCTCTGCCTCAGTCTTTGGCCTCTGCCTCAGTCTTTGGCCTCTGCCTCAGTCCTTGGCCTCTGCCTCAGTCTTTGGCCTCTGCCTCAGTCTTTGGCCTCTGCCTCAGTCTTTGGCCTCTGCCTCAGTCTTTGGCCTCTGCCTCAGCCTTTGGCCTCTGCCTCAGCCTTTGGTCTCTGCCTCAGCCTTACGTAGACAAAAAGGGAGGGAGAAACTCGTCCCTCCCTCCCTCCCTCACTACCTTGCATGGTGGGGCTAAGCCCTGTGCGTGAGCTCCGAGCCCCTCCAGCTTCAAAAGCAGCCTTTCAGTACCAGTCATGCCTCTCTACCTCCCAAAGTCCTCCAACCCTGCTAGCCACTGCTTCGCTCTGACATACTGTTATATTTACTAAAAGCTGCAAGATAACGCTATCCAGTTGTTTTGGGGTGATTTTTCCCTTTAGGATGAGACATCATTGCCTCCAGCTCTGCCTCTGAAGGACAAGACAGACCAATAGAACGTCGGCCGTGTGCTGCAGGTGGCCGTCCTATCACTCCTGACCACAGAACATCGGCCATCATTTCCTGTTAATTTCCTGACGATTCTACAAGTTGATCTACTGCGCATGGCCAACGTCCATTAACCCTGCTTAAAGCTCGAATCCGTATTTGGTGAAACAGCCACGTCCGTTTGGGATATTACAACAACAAAGAAGTTACTTCCTCGATCATCACTGCATGCATGATAGAACATCAGAATATGTACTACAATTCTTTTTTACAGCACAACTGCTGGACAGTCCCCTCCTCTGTCTCATCAACAAAACAATAAAAAAGGCACTGGGGCACTGTTTCACCAAACGTGCATTCTAGCTATAGTTGACACAGAGCATTTCAACTCAGTCTTTATCACAGATCATCTCTGCTCACCATTGACCATTGTCAGACTAACATGATGTAGAATGTCAAGACAGGTTGGTGTTCCAACAGCCATGCCACTGGCTGGCATATCGTTGGCTCATTTTCACTGGGACAACTTTGTGTATGCATACCTGTGTAAAAACACTTCTAGACTACTTCCGACAGTGTGTGTCTGATGAAAACATGCGCCAAGTCCAGTTATCTGTGTGTGTGTGTGTGTGTGTGTCTGTGTCACTCTCTCTCTTGCGCACGTGCACACACACATGCGCAAAGTTCTGTGAGAGAGCCTTGCTGAGAAAGCTGTGTGAAAATCTGTTACGTTTTATATTAATGAAACAGACGTCTGTCAACCACCGCATTCTTATTGGCAGACTAAATAGCCTTGGTTTCTCAAATGACTGCCTCGCCTGGTTCACCAACTACTTCTCAGATTGAGTTCAATGTGTCAAATCGGAGGGCCTGTTGTCTGGACCTATGGCAGTCTCTATGGGGGTGCCACAGGGTTCAATTCTTGGGCCGACTCTTTTCTCCGTGTATATCAATGATGTCGCTCTTGCTGCTGGTGACTCTCAGATCCACCTCTACGCAGACGACACCATTTTGTATACATCTGGCCCTTCATTGGACACTGTGTTAACAAACCTCCAAACGAGCTTCAATGCCATACAACACTCCTTCAGTAGCCTCCAACTGCTCTTAAACACTAGTAAAACTAAATGCATGCTCTTCAATCGAACGCTGCTGGCACCCGCCTACCCGACTAGAATCACTACTCTCGACGGGTCTGACCTAGAGTATGTGGACAACTACAAATACCTAGGTGTCTGGTTAGACTGTAAACTCTCCTTCCAGACTCAAATTAAGAATCTCCAATCCAAAGTTAAATCTAGAATTGGCTTCCTATTTCGCAACAAAGCCTCCTTCACTCATGCTGCCAAACATGCCCTCGTAAAACTGACTATCCTACCGATCCTTGACTTCGGCGATGTCATTTACAAAATAGCCTCCAACACCACTCTACTCAGCAAATTGGATGTAGTCTATCACAGTGCCATCCGTTTTGTCTCCAAAGCCCCATACACTACCCACCACTGTGACCTGTACGCTCTTGTTGGCTGGCCCTCACTACATATTCGTCGCCAAACCCACTGGCTCCAGGCCATCTATAAATCACTGCTAGGCAAATCCCCGCCTTATCTTAGCTCATTGGTCACCATAGCAGCACCCACCCGTGGTGCACCTCCTTTGGCCGCCATTCCTTCCAGTTCTCTGCTGCCAATGACTGGAGCGAATTGCAAAAATCTCTGAAGCTGGAGACTCTTATCTCCCTCACTAACTTTAAGCATCAGTTGTCAGAGCACCTTACCGATCACTGCACCTGTACACAGCCCATCTGAAATTAGCCCACCCAACTACCTCATCCCTATATTGTTATTTATTTTGCTCTTTTGCACCCCAGTATCTCTATTTGCACATAATCTCTTGCACATATAGCATTCCAGTGTTAATACTAATTGTAATTATTTTGCACTATAGCCTATTTATTGCCTTACCTCCATAACTTGCTACATTTGCACACACTGTATATATATTTTCTGTTGTATTTTTTTTTACTTTATGTTTTTTTACCCTATATGTAACTCTGTGTTGTTGTTTTTATCGCACTGCTTTGCTTTATCTTTGCCAGGTCGCAGTTGTAAATGAAAACCTGCACGGAACTGATTTACCTACACCTGCATGGAACTGTTTTACCTACACCTGCACGGAACTGATTTACCTACAACTCTTGGAACTGATTTACCTACAACTCTTGGAACTGATTTACCTACAACTCATGGAACTGATTTACCTACACCTGCATGGAACTGATTTACCTACACCTGCATGGAACTGATTTACCTACACCTGCATGGAACTGATTTACCTACAACTCATGGAACTGATTTACCTACACCTGCATGGAACTGATTTACCTACACCTGCATGGAACTGATTTACCTACAACTCATGGAACTGATTTACCTACAACTCATGGAACTGATTTACATATAACTCATGGAACTCTGTGTGTTTGTTTGTTTGTTTGTTTGTTTGTTTGTTTGTTTGTTTGTGTGTGTGTGTGTGTGTGTGTGTGTGTGTGTGTGTGTGTGTGTGTGTGTCCTGTTCAGAAACAGTATTGTGGTTACTCATGGTTACATTGTACTTCCAGCAGTAACCCTAGCCCTATGTGCAGTATAACAGAGTAACTGCAATACTTGTTAACCTATACTTGAATTATGACACAGCTATCAGGAGTGAAGGATCTCTTCAGTCTGCAAGGAGTCACCAAAAGGATAGCAACAAACTGACCAATGAAAATGGTACAGAGGAAAAACAGTCCAATGTTTACATTTACATTTACATTTTAGTCATTTAGCAGACACTCTTATCCAGAGCGACTTACAGTTAGTGCATACATTATTTTATCGAACCCACAACCCTGGCGTTGCAAACGCCATGCTCTACCAACTGAGCTACATCCCCTGCCGGCCAAATCCCTCCCCTACCCTGGACGACGCTGGGCCAATTGTGCGCGCCGCCCCATGGGTCTCCCGGTCACGTTCTGAACACATTCCAAACCCAGAATGCCACCCACATTTCTGGAGATTACAAAGATGACTTGAGGGTAGGACAGAGAAGAGGAATGCAGAGAGACAGAAACACATACGCACATCCCCCCCCCCCCCCCCCCCCCCCCCCCCCCCCCCCCTCTGTCTTCCTCTCCAACCCCCCTCTCTCTCTCTCTCTCTCCCTCTCTATATCTACAGGAAACAGCACATTACGACATCAGGTTTGGAGAATTCCACACTTCACGAGGTTACAACGTTTTGGGGTCAGCACTTGCCCAGCCTCAGTGTGAAATTAACACCCCAGCTGGAACAAAAAAGTGTGTACATGCATGCATGTGCTCGCTCGTGTGTGTGTGTGTGTGTGGGTGTGTGCAACTGTGTTCTTTAATGACACATATTCACACATTGTCGCTTTTCGGCATTCGCATATCCCCAAGGTGTCACCTTTCTACCTAAATGGTTCTGACCTCCAACACAGGGCCAGGTCCCCTCAGATAGCCTACTCCACATTCCTTTCCAACACAACTACTCCCTAGTACTGTCTCAACAATATACTGGCCTCTTTTAGGGGCTTTTCCCAACTGATCTTCTCTTACTCAAAAACAACAAAGAAATCAAAATGATTGCATAATTGTTGCATTGAGCAGTGCCACCACGGGTGAAAAAGATAGTGTGATTGATGACAGTACTGTACTGTGCTGTGGTGTGGTGTGGTGACTAGACTAGAGCCACAACATAGGGTTCCCTCAGTCAGTCTCCTCCACAACATAGGGTTCCCCCAGTCATTCAGTCAGTCAGTCACCTCCACAACATAGGGTTGGGTGTGTGACTGTGTTCGAGCCTTCAGTGTGGGCATTTAGTTTGTTGCATAACATGAACCCCTGTCCCTGCTATTCTCAAACTGGGGGTGAGAAGAGGAGAGAGTGGGTAAAAGGGGGGAGAAGGGGATTCTAAGGAGCTGACATCACCACTCCCCCCACCT